GTTTTTTGTTTTTTATAATAATTATATTATAAATTTGTTGAGCTTAAGTAAATAAAATAATTTTTGTCTTAGTTTTCTACTTTTCTATAAGACTGAAGTGGCTACTCATTTACAATGTTATTACGTGTTATGTAAAACAATCAACATCTACGATCAACCTTATATCAATCGAGAGAGTGGGTAAAATATGGTGCTTACAAATTAAAATCAAAACAACTGCATCGTTTTGTATAACTTTGTGAAATATATGATACATATTGCGTGAAAAACGAAAACAATTACATGATTTGTACCTTCGTGCTTACGTAGTCCAAAGTACACCTAGGATACATGTATCGCTAATTTGCATAACGTCAAATCTAGTTTTCTTTTTTTCTCAATTTTTAAGATGAAGTTAGTTATTTTGTCAGTAAAATATTAAAGTTTAGAATTCTTGTAAAATCTTAAAAAACGTAGGCTTGATCTCAATGGGCCAGGTTATCGGCCCATTCAATATTTGGGTTTGGCGTTGCTTATTTGTTTGATATGGGCTCGAGTGTTCACCTTTTATTTCTCTACCGCAGCTTCCAATTTGGCGCCCTCGTCAATTCTTCTGCTGTGGGAGCTGGGAAGAGGAAAAAGAAGTAGAAGAAGCAAAGCACAAGAGCGATCCGCAGAACGCAGCGTTGCGATTCGTGTGAGACGTGACGATGATCGATGCGGAGAGTCGGAGCTCGAGAGGCAGATCAGGTACTCAATATTTGATTTGTCGTGCAACTGTCGACTGAGATTATGGTTTTGTGCGGACAAGAAGCGAAAGAAACGGAGGATGAAAAGCCTAATGACTAATCATGTGTTATCATTAGTTTATTAATTTGATGTCGGTGTAGAATCTGCTGTCTAAAATTCCTTTTACTCTGGACATGAATGATGCCCCGCATTGCTGCATTGGCGTGCCAATTCACCGCCCTGGCACACTGGGCAGTTTAACCACTCCTAGTATATCTAATGTGTGTGTATGTATATATAACAGAAATGAAGTTGTAGTTCAAGTGATTAATTGTGTTTATCGTGTTCCAGCCGAGGTAATGCGTTGAATTTATCCTTCCCTAGTATTGCTAGTTTCAACTTTCAAGTTTATCCTCCCCTACCATTGCTAGTTATAATGGATCTCCACTGTATTATATATCGTATTTTCTTTAATGTCGGACAAATCTTGTAGAATAATTGCGAGATATGAGAGTTTGATATCTATACGTAAATGATGTGCATTATCATAAAAATCACCGACCTTATTTTGGAACATAACTTGGGCACATGGGATTTGGTTGTTATGTGACTTTAGTCAAACGAAAAGTGGACAATTTCATTGTATATCATATATATATCTATATCTACTATTGCTTGCACTATATGATTCCATGAATTGGTCCCAAAGGAAGAATGCGCTTTTGTTATATATTATGATCAGCATGCATGTCTACGGTAACTAGGCTGAGGCTTGTATTTAATTAAACCCTCGTGCTTTTGATTAATTAAACCTAAATTATATACAAATATTATACCAGCCATTCATGTCATACCATGTGAAAATTAGATGCTTTGCAGTAGCTAATATTGTTTTATATTATCTCTAAACAATGCCGTTTATGAACTAACCTCTTTTATATAGAGTCAGTAGCCTCAGATCTGCACTTCCATTTGCCAGGTATGGAATTCTCTTATTGCTATTACCATTTGCTAATTAATGAATTGTAATATTCAAACATGTGGAATATAGATTCCCAACAAATTCTTCAATTTCGTCTAAAAGAAGATGTAGTACAAGTGTACAACGGAGAGTTGAATGTTGCGTTCGAGAATGATGAATGTATATAACCTTGGATATCTTCACATTGCTATTTTTTGTCTTTTCAGAGCAATTCCACCCCTAAGGACTTTGCGCCAGCACCCAGCGCATTTATCCACTCAAATGAACAGTAACAGACTCTAATGAACAGTAATAGGCCAAGGCATCTCCACCCCTAAAAAAATGCGCTGGCACCCAGCCCATTTAAAATATTTTTAAATTTTGTCAAAAGAATAAAAAAATAAAATAGTTTTAATTTCGGATAGGATTTTTAACCAATCTCGTCACGCCACATGTCATTATCTGAACGTACTATTTTGTGAATAGATTTCCGCTAAGATTTTCAACCAATCCCGACATGCCACGTGTCACTTCCGTTTTACAATAATTTAGCCAAGATTTCGATAAGATTCTCAACCAATCATGTCATGCCACGTGTCATTATCTGAATGTACTATTTTGTGGATAGATTTCCGATAATATTTTCGACCAATCCCGACACGCCACGTGTCACTTCCGGTTTACAATAATTTAGCCAAGATTTCGATAAGATTTTTTCTCTTAAAGTGTAGAAAATATTGAAATGTAGATAGTATAGAAAGTGTAGAAAATATTGAAATGTGGTGTAAAGGTAGAAGATGAGGGTTAGGTATTTATAGGAAAAAAATTAACATTTTTCAAAATTTTCTGTATTTTTTTTTAATTTTCTGTATTTTTTAATAATTTTTAATGAATTTTAATATAGTTAATTAATCTGGACCGTTGGATTTGAAAAATATTCAAATCCAAGAGTTAGGGACGTGCCACGTGGCCAACGGTCATATTTATGACCATTGGGTTGTTTTTTTTTTATATTTATTTACTTTTTGTGAAAAAAAATGTGGACCGTTGATCTATGATCAGACGGTCCATTTTAAAAGTCAAATTTAAATTTTTTTTACCGTTGGAAATCCAACGGCACTGAGGAGGGCCACGTAGCCCTATTCCGGGTTAACATAAGTGGGCTGACAAGCGGGCCCCCCCCCCCCGCCTGCAACCCGGTCTGCTACTCGCGCACAAGCGCGCTTGTGCTGCACGCGCCTGCTAAACAGGCCGGCCTCTGGGTCTGTCCGAAATGGGCTGGCCTGTTGCCCAGCTTGGGCTGTGTGCCAGGCTCTTTTGCGGGCTGGAGCAAATTGACAAGGGGCTGGGTAGTTTTTTGGACTAGGTGCTGGGCAATATCCACTGGGGTGGAATTGCTCTCAAGGAAAATGTAGTGGAACAACAATATAAGCTAAATGAATTGAGATTTCCGAAATTTAGACTTAGAGTGACATGTCATGTGATGAGATAAATTGATAAAAAGAATGTAAGGTGAGTTTTTTTTTTCCGCACATTAGATTTCAATTAAAGGTTATGTCCTTCACTTCATGTGGTTGTTATTGGTTATTGGTTTCTTTAGTGTTGATAACGTATTTAATCAGTTTAAGAGCAACACCTTCAAAAATCTAGGTTCATGCATTGCACAATGCACATATTTGAAAATACTTACAAACATGTGTATCCACTATACATCGAGCTCTAGTAAGTGTGGTTTGCCATTGATGTGGGTGCACTAGCAGAAGAATTCTAATATATAACGTCTCAATGCGACACCTCTTACGTAATAAAATGAACTCACTTACACGTGGGTTTCATCTGGACTCACTTTTGTGTGAGAGGTGCCGCAGCGCAGACCTACGTCCATCATGCTAGAATTTGGCATGTTAGTGGGACAACCTAATAAATCCCACATCATTGCTGTCAAGTCCATCAGCAGAAAATGAAGCTTCGTGTGTATGTATATCTTGTCATATCATTTGCAGTGCGCTCCATCACTCCACGACCAACTCCATGACCAAAAGGTGCACTCCAGTTGGCCACCCAACAAAACCAGGCCATATAAGTGGTGCTGCTCCCCTCTAGTGATCCATAATGCAACATATCACCACATTTTTACTGTTTGCATTTAGCAACAATCATGTGCCCCTCACGTGCCTAACATGTCTTCACTACCATCTTTTTCAAATTTGGTTTCATTTGATCCGTTTTAAAAAACCATTTCACATGGACCAACCTGTGAAGAATAGAATAGAAACCATTCATTTTTTTAAAGAAATTTTTTGAAATTATTCTATTCGTATAATTATTAATGTGAGCTCATGGGGCTCCAATAATGGATGCCCGTCTGTCCCATTTTTCATTGATATTCAAGGCCATGACAAAACTGTCAACATATCTCAATTCTTGTAGTGTTTTTTTTATAAATTATATTATCCATCGTCACAAGCACTTTCGGGTTACTTGAAGGGTTCATTAATCCATGCGGATTAGGTGGTCAATCACACTTCACTTTATCTTAATATTTTGTTAAATGATCAACATACACTTATCTAGATGCAATATACATAGTCACGTTGTCTGTTAGATGCAAAATTGTTCGATAATTCGTTCTGATGCTCCCCAAATATAACTGCTTTTTCATACTTCAATTGAGCTTTTGCACCTAAATGTTTTTCGTGTTCAAACATGACTAGCAAAGGTGCTGAGAAATGATTTATGTGAAGAAAGTTGAGGTTCCACTATAAAATCAATTGATAATATGGAGAGTAGTTCAACCTCTTATAAACCCATGCAAAGTCCCTTATCCCATCAATGTATGACTCATTCTCAACACGCCCCTCACGTGTGGTGAATTTTCAAGCCTAACACGTGAACAACACAACAAGGTGACGTAGCGCGTATGTGGTCATTTGGTTTCACACGTGGGACAACTTGGCTCTGATATCATGAAGAAAGTTGGGGTTCCATCATAAAACAAATTAGCAATATAAGGAGTAGCTCAACCTCTTATAAGCCCATGTGGGACTCATTCTCAACATTATGCTCACTCATTTTATTTCTCTAACCAATTGAATTGAACAAATCAAAGCAGAGTAAAGAACCGAAATTAAAGCGGTTTGCAGAATGTGAAAAATAGTGTGCATAACTCAATTCCCGTGATGCCTATCCAAATTAATTCAACTATGTAATGTATATAAATATATTCTCTGCCTCTAACTTGGATGTGTACCTATAGTCATCACATGTCATAAAGCGTGGTATGTTTCCAAATTAATTCAACTATGTAATATATATATAAACATATTCTCTGCCTCTAACTTGGATGTGTACCTATAGTCATCACATGTCATAAAGCGTGGTATTTTGCTAGTACTTCCTCCATTGGTCACTGTAAAGCTTTTCTTTTGGAGCTTCCCTCTCTCCACCTCTCGATCATATGAAATATTAGGCACATCCTCACCAGCTTTTATTGCATATTAGGTTTCTATCTTTTGAAGGATTGCCACATGAGAGAGAGGGAGAGAGAGAGAGAGAGAGAGAGAGGAATCACTTGCAGCTTCATCTCAAATGAACTTTTGAACTTTCTCATTCATCAGTTGTATTTTGAAGAATTTAGGAGTCTCTGATCACATGACAAAATCTAGTTGGGGTTTTGTTCTTTGGTCTAAGAATTGGTTTACAGTTTAAAAAGTTGCTGCTTTTTTTTTATTTCTTTCTGGGTTTTCGGATCCCCTTCTACATTTTTTTGACCAGCTGAGTTTTATAAATTATAAACTATTGGGGTCTTGTTCCCTTTCCTCCTTCATGGCTTCATTGGTTCTGCTCAACTTTTGCCTTCCCCAATGAATATTTGACCTTTAGCGCTTCTCACTCTCCCTCCCTCTCTCTCTCTCTCTATCCCCCACACTATTATAATGTTCACACTAGTCTGCACTGGCTTACAACACTGAGGCAGTTTGGTTAGTTAACTGGACTGGGAGGGACGGATCGGCTGCAGAGATTTCTTGTGTTTGGAAATTCTGTTTGGCTTTAGATTTGTGTCCGTTTGGCTACGAAGTTTGTTCTGGTTGTTGCAATGGGGAAGCTAAGTATGGGCAGGGTGCTGGACAGGTTTTGTATTTCTTCAACTGGCTCTGGTTCTTGTTTCTGCATGAACTGGTCGGAAAATCTTGACGAATTCGAAAGCAGTCCGTTGGTAACCGGCGAAAAGGATCAGTTTCTAAAACTGAAGGATGTTGTCGCCGGAAAACAGACGTTGGCCTTTCAGTTGAAGCCCAAGGTATTATTCTCTCGTTTCATTTCTCTCTGTTGGCCTCGTTTGGCGGCTAAGATTAGAATGGATTGGATAACTCTCAGTAGATTCAATGTTTGTTCGAAGATGAATGATTGATTTCCTGTTGGCATAAAACCTTATGCAGATGGTAATGCTAAGGGTTTCCATGCACTGCAATGGCTGTGCCAAAAAAGTTGAGAAACATATCTCAAAGATAGAAGGTATGTCGAACTTTTAAATACGAATTGAAGACAAGTCAGAATTTGATACACACATATATACACTTACGTATATTTTTTCTGGGCTGGTGTGTGAATTTTTGTATTTTTTACAAGATCTTGCATGTTTGTATGCGGTCCCTAACTATCAATATTCTTTTATTGAAACCTTGTTAGTTTTTAGTTTTTGATTGAGGTCCCTGACATTAATGTAATAATTTAAGTTACTATATTTTTTAAATTAAAAATTAAAAATTGAAATTTGTAATTGTTTATATTAATGAGATTTTAAATAAAACCCATAATTTATGGGATTAAAAATAATAAAATATAAATTATACTCTCTATTATATTGTGTGTGTGTACATATATGTATGGGTACATTAACCAAAATTAACAAAAAAAGTTATTGTACCAAAACATGGATACATTCTCAAATCAACGAAAAAGAATGTACTCATATAAGTTTAAACATGGATTAAAAAATTTGAAAGGATTTTATATTAAAAAAAGGGTACAACAAATTGATATATTTGAGAATGGGTACATTTAAGATTAAAAAAATTGAAAAATTATATGAATGGATACATTTAAGATAAAAAAATTGAGAATCTTTTTATATATAAAAAAAAACTAATAGGTACAAACTTAATTTAATTTAATTTTTTATTATTTTGGAAATGTTTGAATTGAAAATTAATTAGAAGTTTAATAGAGGTGTGAGTATTAAACCCTAAATTAATTACTAATTTTTATATTAAAAAATTATATAATAAACATGTAAATTCATTATCACATTAATGCTAGGGACTTGAATCAAAATTTGAGAACTAATAAGGTCTTAGTCAATGAATAGTAAGAACTAGGGACCGGATACTAATTTTTCCAAAAAAATAATTATCATCTTCCTCACGATGCTTTGTTTTTGTCAAACCTCACAATGATTCTGTAATTGTTTTTGCGTCACGAATAAAACAGGCGTGACGTCGTACAAAGTAGATTTGGAGAGCAAGATGGTGGTTGTGATCGGAGACGTTCTTCCTTTCGAAGTGCTAGAGAGCATTTCCAAGGTTAAAAATGCAGAGATCTGGAACTCCACATGCTGAGATGATGAAATATATATATATATATATATATATATATATATATATATATATATATGTGTGTGTGTGTGTGTGTGTCCATTGTCATAATGTACACTATGATACACAATTTTAATTCGGGTGTATGTGCCCTATATATGCAATTGCAATCTCTTGTCGAACCATCGGTTGATATTTTAATTGTAAGATCACACTGTATATTATATGTGCCCTATATTATCTGCGTCAGAGTAATTTGGGTTTGAGAATGTTATCTGATGTCGGAAATGAAAGTCTTGTATTAGTTATTTAGAAGATGTTGGTCTCTTTATTTATCATCAATTAATTTTGGATTAACATGATATTACATGTCAAACGACCGCATATGCTCTCACATCATCTGATTTGACTAATAATATAAATTTGGGCCTCTCTACCTATTGTGAATTGGTTTTCGGTTTTCAATGTTGGGCCTTTACTGAACGTAACCCAAAGGAAAAAGTTCTCTTTGAGGTCTTAGTACAAAAGGCCAATTAATTCTAACCCCATCCTAACTTGATATAACAAAAGGCAAAAAGGATGTCGTTTTTCTCTAAAGCCCTTACTATTGAAAGGAGAAGTAATGCTAGAACGACTACATATTTATAATGTATCATCTCATGTGACGAGTAATGAATACAATTAACATTTAATAAAATAAATTCATTAATTGACGTGACATTTATATATTATTATCACATTAGATAATATACAAGTGTAATACAAAAAAAATGGTACATAAATTAATATAAATTCATAATTCTTTCAAAAGTTGTTGCCAAAATTTAATTGCATTAAATTCAGGGGACCTTAAGTATGTTTCATGCTTATGATTATTCCTACAATACTTGGGATTGAGTCTTCTGCAAGGTATTTTATGATATATACATTTATCCATGCCTAGTGTGTTAAATTTTGAAGTTTTTGATAGTTTATGTTTAGAAAACTTTAACGAAAAACTTCCAATACTGTTCACTTTAATGAAAAACCACATTTTTATTCTAAAAAATCAATCATGATACTATTCATTTTGATATAATATGCTTATGTCTTTTTTATTTCTACCAGAGTGGCTGATGATGCCATAAACCATTTTTCACTAATATGGGTTAGTGAGGGCGCGCCAACCATTTTTCACTATTTGATAGTTTGTCCTTCTACCTTACGAATGCAGAAGTTCTCCAAGAACGGGGCTGGTATAGTGCATAATCCCTCCAACAACAAATCTTTGTGCTGCAGCTGGAATACTGATGCGACCAAAACCTCCTTGAACGTTAGCAGCTACTATTTACTAAGAGTAGCTCCAGCGGGAGCTTCTGCTTGAGGGACAGGCTGCGGAACAAGACCGAATAGGCCTGGGATGAGGTTCAGCCTATGCGAGCCCGAGGGACAGGCCATGCCCGAGCGACAGGCCCGGCAGCGATTGCCAGCGATTCCCGAAGCCGGCGTCGTGACTTCCTCGAAGATGGTTGTCGGAGAAGATGCAGAAGATGCATAATTGAAGAAGAAGTTTTCCGATAAACAAACAAAGAAGAAAGAAGGAAGTGAGAAGAAGATGAATAATTGAAGAAGAAGCAGAACCAGATCTGCAGAGAAGAAGGAAATCTGTAAAGAAAAGGAAGGAGGAATATATAATATTAATATAATTAATAATATAATATTAATTTATACAAAGTAAATAATATAATATTAATTATAAATAAAATAATAATTATATTTTATTAACAATTGCCAGGACTATTCAATGCAAGGGTGGATATGTAAAAGACAATTGTCACGACAATTACTGTTCATTAAGGGCAGTTGCTGTTCATTTGGTGGATTAAATAGTGAATAGCTTGGGGGAGGGCTTCTACATTGAAGTTGCTCTAATGGGATGCCAACTAGGCATAGTACCATAATACGCGACGTAGCAATCTTTACAACCACATATCAGTTTGATTGGATGATAAGGGTTGATACATGGTCTCTACAATTTGTAAACTAAATTGACTTGTTATAGCAAGCAAATTGTGTATTATGATACATGTTCTCTGCAATTTGTGCTTGTTTCTTCTTCCTGATCTTTTCCTGCCTCTTTCCCTTTCCCCTTTATTCTCGGACTCGGTCGTTTCTCAAGTTTAGCCGCCAAAATAAAATCTTTACTAGATTAATTACGTTTTGGATTAATTACACTAACATCTTCTGAAGTTTATCATATTTTCACAAAATTTTCTCACGTTTATGAAATTACACTAACACCCCTTGACGTTTTAGTTTACTTTCACATCACCCCTTAAATGACAAATTTAACCTTTTAATTAATTACTAAAAATAAAAAATCTTTGTGTATAAAGAAATAAAGTCAAACTAAAAAAATAACATTAAACATTATAATAAAACAAAACAAATCCTATACAGCATCATAAAATTTAATTAAAAAAACAGATGAGAAAATCCTGTACGAACTGAACTCTCATATCTAGCATATTGAAAAGCTATTGGAAATTTGGAACACGACCTATTTTTTAATCAGGAGAAACTAGTTTTTATAGAGATGCAGTTTAGCAGGCTGGTACAATTTTGGGAGGGTTCCAAGGTACAATAATACCCGATGTTCTGTTTCTAATATTATTTTTTTGGGTTTTTTATTCTATTTTTATGAGATCTTTTTTTTTTTGGATACTAATCTCAATTTTTTTTGGTTTTGTATAACAGTCGCTTCAGAAATTGAAAATCATTAATCTTAGTTATTCCTAGGCCTGTAAACGGGTCGGGTTTATTGGGTTCGGATCGGGTTAAACCCGACCCGTTAATTTAACGGGTCATCCAAACCCAACCCGTTAAGCTAACGGGTCACCCAAACCCGACCCGTTAAGCTAACGGGTCTTAACGGGTCACCCGTTTCATGTTTTTTTTTTTTTTTTTTTTTTTACACATTTCATCCAAATCAATTATAACCCCGTTTTAACAGGGCTAGTTAACCCAGTGAGGATGTCATCATAGTGGTGATACTCAGGCCATGTTTGGTACACAGGATAGGACATCGGATAGGATTAATAATACGGAGTACGGTGTTTGGTGTCCGTTCGTATTAGATAGCCACCGGATTAAACAATCCGGGCCCACCTACTTAATACGCTGGTTACCCGACTGCTTGTACCGTTCAAAACCTTCGTACAATTTAGTCGGGGCAAACCCTCTCGCTGTCTCCTTCCTCTCCAGACGCAGTGTCCTCTCGCGCTCGGTCGTGGTTCTCTCCAGACGCTTTCCTCTCGCGCTTGCTCTCTCGGCTGAAGGCCAGGTTCGTCTTCGTCGTTCTTCTTCGTTTGAATCCCACCAGTTTTCTTCTTCTTCCCAGGTTGCGCCCCTCTCTCTGTTCTTCCCCCTCCTTCCATTTTTCTTGCAATTTCTTTCAATTGATCAATCTAGTTATTGTTTTCTCTGTAATTATGCAATTGATTATGTAATTTTGTGTTTTAATTACAAATTTCGAATTTTAGGGTCTGATGAATCTAGTTATTGTCTTCCCCTCCTTCCATTTTTTTTTTGCATATGAATGCTGCAGTTTATCTTTCCATATTTACCGTCAATCTAGATAGAGATAAATGAGAATACTGAAAGGGAATGTTGAAAGGGAATACTCAAATAAAAGGAAAATGATTGTTCCTGGGTTGGTTGGGCATGCACAAATATTAGATAGAGATAAATGGGTTTTCGTTTCTTATGACCGTGTTGTACTTTCTTTTGCTTATTTTCTGAGCAACCAAACAGAGCATTTTGGTTTTGTGGCTGACCCAATTTCCTAGATTTTCTGTCATCTGAAAATTTCATTGGTAGCATCTCTTGGTATCATATGGGATCCCAGTTTAATTTGATTTGGGCTAAATGGTTGGCAGTTCATATAATCGTTGTGCTATTATTAAACATTAGACATAAGTATAATTCAAAAGTGCAAAATTCTGTTTTAAGAATTTATGAACCATCAATTGTAGAATTCAGCACAAACAAATGTGAACCAGCACAAATCCATTGCCTTCAAATATAGACAGATCCAATCAGGACAGTTAGAGACTTTGGAGGGGATTGGTGGGCAGAGTTTTGGTGCGCCCAAGTTGTTTGATAGAATGCCTCAACGAAATCAAGTTTGTAGAATTGGGTGTTTGGAGGTAGAAGGTGAGGCTTTGTGTAGTAGTCAATCAAATAAACTGGTTAATGACTTGCAGATGCAGGATAATGGTATTGATAGGACTGTTGGTTTGACTGCACCTGGAGATGTAGACCCTCCACTTCGCGCATACCGGCAATTCAACTCAGTGTCATAAAGCTTTCGAGCAAGAGGAAGGGAAAATAGTTGCCAGAGTAGATATTGTGAGAAAGGTCTTATTGAAAGCAAAGCAGCAGCATGCATATATTTTGGCTATCTGGACAAACTGTTTCTTACCGAAACCAACTTGTATTTGTATATGTCATGAACTTAGATATGTGATTGTATTAATCTATATAACGTAATGACTGTAGTTGTTTTTTGTAAACCCTCTTTTATGTTACTGGAAAATATTTTGAATTTGATGTATGGAATTTACTATTTTTCTTTGTTATTTGAAAATTTGTGTGGTTTTCAACAAGTATAAATATGAGAAAAGTTCAACAAACAAACAAAGATTTGTCAATTATTTTTTCCCTTGTCCTATCCGGTTCAATACCAAACACAGTATAAATAATACGGTCATTAGTCCGATACTGCACCAAACGCCCGACTAATTTAGTCAGTACTATCCGGTGGTTATTTATCCTATCCGACAGAAATAGTCAGTACAGTCCGAGCTGCCAAACGAGGCCTCATAGTCTTGTCAAGATAAACCGCAACAGCTGTGCTTACAATAACTGGATACAATTGCCAATCAAGTCTCTCAACTTTTCGCCTGAAACCACATTCACCCATCTCGGAACATCATTCGTTTCTGACATATGATCGCCAATACTCGAGGAATTGTTTCCGCCACACTTCCCATCTGCATACAAAGCTACTACCAAATTCCTAGCAAAACTTCCAACAACAGAAGCAAAACCCGACCCGGCCTTGGTAAAAAGCTTATCCATAACCTGGCCTTTAAAGATTGAACCACCAGAAACTGCACCATCCCCATCACGTGCTGTTTCCGATTGATAAGCCCGCAATACCCCCAAAGTTACAACCTGTGCGACCATACAACAGACTCCGAAAACTCATCACACCTAGCGATTTTCGAAACCCATGAACAAAAGGGTCTAAATCAATACTCTGTACACTAAATCAATACTCTGTACAAAACCCATGAACAAAAAGCAAAACCCATTATCCAAAACACAACAAAAAATCTAATCTGCAGAAACGAAAAGTAATCGAAATTAAAGAAGAGGTGGAAGGAAATCGGAGCTTACCAGAGAGAGAGTGGTGGAGTTCAGTAAAGTTTTTGAGGGAAGAAGATGAGGGAGATAACCGGAGCCAGAAGGAAGGAGCACAGGCTGCACAGCGATCTCAGTCTCAGAGAGCAATGGCGTGTGAGGCAGCGAGAGAGAGTGAGGAACGTGAGGGCTGAGGGCTGACGGCTGAGGTCCTGAGGTTTTGCATTAGGGCTTTTGAAATTACACAAAAATCCTTACTAACGGGTGTTAACGGGTGGTTAACGGGTTTCGTGGGTTCACCCAAACTGACCCGTTATTTAACGGGTGACTAACGGGTTGACCCGTTAACCACCCGACCCGTTAACCACCCACCCGAATACTAATTTTAACGGGTCGGGTCGGGTCGGGTTAACGGGTTGGGTTGAAAATGCCAGGCCTAGTTATTCCTATAACCTAAGATAATCTCTTCAAATGCCCCGAATCTTGAAGAATTGATATTGAAAGACTGTTTTAATTTGTCCAAGATTCACCCCTCCATTGATCATCTTAAAAGACTTTATTTGGTGAACGTTGAGGGATGTCGCAAGCAAGCTTCTCTTCCAATGGATTTCTATAAGTCCAAATTTGTTGAGGTTCTTATACTTTCCCTCTGTTCATCATTCAGTGAACTGCATGAGGATTTAGGGAAGATGATATCATTGAGAATTCTTGAAGCAAATTGTACAGCCATTAATAAATCATTTCACATATATGAATCATATGATGCCCATTACATTTGGCAGTAGTGGCGGAGCCACATGGAGACCAAGATGGGCACGGGCCTATCCTGAAATATTAGTTTATATACTTTATTTGTTGGTTTGGTAACTAAAGAATATGCGGCTTGGTGGTTGAAGGGGTTTTTTTGTTCCTGCACGTCAGGGGTTCGAAACTTGCTAGTGAATTTCCTCCAAGTTCTTTATTAGCAATTTTTTTTTTGTTAGTTGATATGGAAGAAGGTTAATTTATGTTGAAGAAAAATCTCATAATAATAGTATTGAGCCATGATTTTAAAATTTGGTTTGAAATTAATGTTAACTTTGTTGTTGTTGTATTTAAATGACCCTCCTAGTCTAAATTCCTGGCTCCGCCACTGTTTGGCAGGGACAACTATCAAACGATAAGCTCAATTTGCAAAGCGGGAATAAAGTAGATGTAATTGTTGAAGTGTCAGAAGACATAAGGGCTCGTTTGTATGTGATTTTAAACTCACTTAAAGCGCTTTTGGTGAAAATGCTTTTGAAACCAATCTTTAGTAAAAATCCAAATGTATCATGAAAAAGCACTTTAAGTGCTTCCTGCAATAAACACATATCTGGTGCTTCTTTCAGAAAGCACTTAAAATGTTTTTGGAACTCAAAATCAATTTCACCAAAATCACTTTCAGTCATTTTAAAAACACATCCAAACGAGCCCTAAATTGTCCCATGACAATGAGAATCAAGAGAATATGGGTTAATCTAAGGGATTTTCTAACTTTAATCCTTGAAGAATATTGAAATTTAAAATAAACCTAGTGTTAGATTACATATTGATTATAGTCCCTTAATGTGTCCTTAATTCAAAATAATTAATGTGTATTTTATTCAGCGTCTCCCTTTAAATATTTAAAGTTATTAATATACACATTTTAATATATTTTTTTACCAAACCAAAGTTTTTTTTTTTAAATTTATTAAGTTTATTTAACATTATTCAAACTTGAAAAATTCAATTAATGTACCAAAATGTATGTACCGAAATGTATTATATTGAATTAATGTATTTAAATGTTAGTACCGAAATGTATTATATTAAACTAATGTACCTAAATGTGTGTACTGAAATGTATGTACCCAAATGTATGTACTAAAATGTATTATATTAAACTAATGTACCGAAATGTATTATAATGTACCTAAATGTTTGTATCGAAATTTATGTACTGAAATGTGTGTACCTAAATGTATACACCGAAATGTATTATAATGAATTTAATGTACCTAAATGAAGAAGACAAAATATATCGAAATATATTGTAAAATAAAAATTTGTTTATCTAAATGTTTACAACAAAATATATTACGATGAATTAAATGAAAATTACAATTATAGTGAAATAAAATTAATACATTAAAATTAAGAAGAAAAAGAGAAATAATTAAAACATAAAAAATATAATTAATAAATGAGGTGATTAATGTATCAAGGGACTAAAATTAGATTTTGATCTAAAAATCATTTTTGCCAAGGATAAAAATGAAGTTTTTCACTTTCCTAGTTCAATTATGAAAACAAGTCTATATATCATATTTTTTTTTTCAGATTTTATGATTTTTTTCAATAAGTTGTTTTGAATTTTGAAGATATATTGCTTCTAGAAACATTTTCACCTGAATATTTGAGAAATGCTACACGAATTCGCATAAATACTTGCAGTGCTTTCACACATATTCCAGGAACTAAATTTTAAGGTTAGAAAATCAACGGTAGCCTCAAGGATGCCTGGCATTAATCTGAGCACTGTTTTTATGTACATATATGTATGATATTAAGTATTAATCTGATCCAGTTTACCTCCTTAATAGAGTTCAAATTATGCTTTATCGTTCACCATTCCTCTGCACATTATATCTCTCTCAACATTGCACACACGAGAAAGTATAAGAGTCTCAACATATTTCGACTCGTAGAAATCCCTTGGAAGAGAAGTAAGCAAGTTCCATTGAATTTCGGACAAACTCTCACAGCTTTCCAATATCAATTCTACAAGATTTGGGAGTTGTGAAAGGTCTGGTGATTTTTTTTAGAAAAAAAAGAAAACTGAGATCAATGATTTTCAACTTCTGAAAGTACTGATACACAAACCGAAAGAAAATGGAAATTAATATCCAAAAGGAAGATATCATAAAAAGCAAAAATAAAAAGAAACCCAAATATAATATTAGAAGCATAACACCATGGGTTGTTCTAACTTGGAACCCCCGCAAACTTGTACCAGATTGCTTGACTGCGTATCTATAGCAACTAGTTTTTTCTGGTTTAAAAAAAGACATCTGGTAGGAACTTTAAAGGGCATGCATGCCAGCACAACCATATTAACTTTCTAGGAATTAGATGTTTGTATTTTTCATTGAGTTGTACGGTTTAGTAGCTCATTTTCACTTGTAAGGATTGCATTTCTTGCATTACGGCATTCCTTATTTTCTTATTCTCAAGAATGACCATATTTTCTATTCGTCTCCTTCCAAAGTAACCCATGACACCGCCTTGTTCTAATCCTTGGCTCCCAAGAAAACTTATAATAATAATGAACTAATTATCCAACACAATTATCACATGGCACGTCTTGAATTCGATTCCTAGTGCTAGTGAATCATACGATGGGGATCAAGAAAGACTGAAATGCTTTTGTGAATTTTCCTAGCCTTCGAAATGGTGGATTAGCGTGGCAAGCCACCAGCTGGTCCCTTTTAAAGAAAAAAAATTATGAAACGACAAGCCCAATTTGCAAGGAAAATATGCATGAATTGGAATTTTGGATTGTGTCGTGCTGGTTATGAAAAGAGGCAAATTCAATGAGAGCAGAAAACCGTAATGAACAATGAGAGGAGGTATTTAAATTAATTAGCAGCCTAACAATTAACTAATATGTTCCCAGGTGCCTAACACCACTCGTCTTCTTAGCGGGTTTGGGGCATTTAGATTTGAGGCCTAAATAAGATCTCTTTACAGTTGTAAATGTCAAATTATTCTTTACAATTGTAACCATTTTGGCTAGAACCAATTAGAAATTTGGAGTTTTGAATTAGTGAGCATTTAGGAGAAGTGCCAGGTGGCCGGACATGTAAGGTCGGCTAATAAAAAGTTATCACATTGTCAAGAGTGAAGCCACCGGACTACAAAGCGGGACGCATACATGATGGTGACCATATTAACCAGAGTGGTTGCGCTATATCTTGAATTAATGTATATTCAATAAGAGCGGCATATAGTTAGACTTGTAGAGTTGTTTAATAAAAACA